CTAATGAAACTCTGAATGGAACCTCATCTACCCTGCAGTCTCACAAAATTCAAGCCTCTGCTTTAAAGAAGCCTTAAAAATAATTTGCTTGGAAAGCCAAGAAATCTCAAGTAAAGGACACTGTGCTTAGACCAGAGTATACCAGACATTTGAATTGCAGAAGAACAAAAAAACGCAACGCTACAAACACAGCAACCTCCACGAGCCATGATTTAGCTCTTCATGGCAAAAGTAGATCAGGCTGATCAGTTTTTAATGCACATGCAGCCTATTTCAAATGCATCATAAATTTCAGGAGGTTTTTTTCTAGCCCAGAGAGGGAAAAGAATAGAGATGTTTTCTGCAGAGAGTCAAAAGGTACTTGTGTGATTACAAAGCTTCCCCGTGGGTGAGGAAGGACAGTCGATGGCTATTGCAGAGATCTGTAGCTTCCAAGCAGGAGAATTATGGTGGGAAGCCCAGAGAAACAGGGCTGTTCATGGAAATAGCAGAGTCTTAGGTTCAGCATTCAGCGGGACTTGAATGCTGTCCCATGGTTCTGAGATTACAAATCAATGGTCATATAATCTTCTGAATTTCCAGCCTGTGGTATTCCCCACCACAGAAAGGCAGGAAGCTGCTTGGTGCTCTCATTTTGATGGAATAAGCAGGCACAGCTGGGAATCCTGACACCAAGCCAGGCCTCTGGCTCCTTGGAGCAATTCCTGTGTAAATCCTGGGGATGGATCACAAATGGGGGCTGCTGGGCATCCTCTAACTGTTAAAGAATGGTGACCAAGCTTGGAGAAAGGAAGCTGCCTCCAGCAGTATTCTGCTTGCTCTGATTACCATTATTTCCAAAGCACTTTTCTTTGGAGATGTGTGGGAAATAGAGAAGGCATAAATCTCTCAGAAAGCTGTGTGAAAGCAAACCTCAGGATGGAGAAATGCAAGAATGCTGAAGATGGCAAGGACAAGAAACAATAGGGCTGTGAGCTGTGTAGAGATAGGCCTAGGGAAAATATGTTAAGCAGGATAGTAGAAATATGTAAGCTTAATAATGAAGGTTTATCCATTGTTTTAAGCTGTTGTTTTACACTTTCATTGCTGTTATAGAATCGACTGTGCAAATAACAAATAGAGAACATGATTTGATCTTATTTTTGATTGTGTGTGTTTATATATACAAACTTGAGTTGCTGTTGGTCCTGGCTTTAGGTCTCCAAGAAAGTTTTTGCTGTGATCCCTTTGTGATGCAAATTTGAGAGACTGATTTTGCATTTTCTGACCTGGCATTTGTCTGGAGCAAGCAGCCAGTTTACTGGTCCCAAAGCAGTATGGGTGTAGGTTTAGAGAAGTTCCACGTGAGATACTAATTCATGGATGAGCTTCAGGTAGAAAGAACTACAAAAGTTTATGTTGTCTTCTTCAGGTGTTACAAAGTGGTGAAAAATGGTGGAATATTAAAGCTGATAAATCATTGATCTGAAGAGTAGGATGGGGAAGACCTGGTAAATTATTCAGTAACTTTTCCTGATAAAGCAGTGCTTGTTTCTAAAATACTTCAATGCTTCAATTTCTACTCTCCAATCCAGACTAACTTTGATGTCCACTGCTTCCTAAGAGTCATTACTTTGCAGTTTGCTACAGTCTCTCCAGGAAGAAAAAGTACTTTTGTGGTCAAGGCACAAGACCACGGCTCAAAAGATTTAATTTTTGTTTCCTGACTGCATTAGGCTTTGTGACTGGGCTCAGCAGCCTGCTACTGAGCAGGAAACATGATGTTCTCTTGCCTCCTTCTCATCTACATTTCAAATTTGTTTAGTCAGGACCTGTATCTTCCTTTTATATTAGTTGAATTTTTCTTTTTTTTTTCTTTTGGTGTATTTCTTTTTCATTTGGAGATAACGTGCATTAATAAAACATCTCATTTTGCAGGAGGAATTTGAGAGGAATTATTTTGTTATAATCAACCCTCAATAGTGGCAACTCTCTTCTTGTAAAGCAGACAAAACTAGTTTCCTACAAGTATTAGGGAAAATAATTTTTTGGACATTCTTGATTTTGCCATAAGTTCTGCAGTTTAAAATATCATTAGGCTAGAAGAGCTGCCCCTCTCACTGTGAAAGCGATTCTGCAAGCTGCAGAGGCTTTTTTATGGCAGAAATTCTGTTTTCACAGTGCCAGATTTTATCCCTGTGGTGCTAATTTTTTTCTGCACACTCATTTTTGATGTTATTTTGTGCTAAGAAACTACTGAGTTTTATGATCAGATTGTACAGTAAAGCCCAGCTGCAGCTTTATGGGAGCAGAGGTTTAAGGGAAGGTTTGCATGGGAGTAATTTCTTTAAGTAAATTCAGTGGCTGAATGTGAAAAGGCCTTCTTTTCTTCTAGAGAAAAATCTGAATTAAATCATATGTGCTCAAGTTGAATTATTTAAAAATTATATATGAGGATCTATCTGTTTAATGCTGGAGGTTAAAATTGCCAGATTGTTTAATACACAAATCTTTCAGCTTGAGCTACATTTGAACATGTACTTTATGCATATACAGTAGAGTTCTGTACTGTGTGTAGTGCTGAACCAACAATATATTATACTCATTGGTTTCAAAGTGGTTTCAAAGGAGTTTATACATCTATTGGCTAGAACTTTATAGAAAAGATCAATTGCTTTAAAAGAAGAAAGAGAACAGTTTCTCAAGACATGTCTACAAATCAGCTATTTGTTTTATCTGGCTGGGTTGCAATGGGTAAATTGTGCCTCTGAGAAACACATTAATAAATCTTTGGCACAGAAAACCTTGAGAGAAGCAAATATAAAATTTATCTGCTTACCTGAAAAGTTTGGTTTTTGTTTTTTTTTCCTGGTTCCCTCTGATAACATCATAAATGAACAGAAATAGTGAAATTGTCTCAGAACTGGAGTAGTATTTTGTATCCACCAGCTCTGGTACAGATCAATTAATACAAGGTGTGTTGTTTGCAAATTTTTCTTTAAAGTACTAAATAAAGGAGAGCAACTTGGATATTCAAATTCCCTCAGAAGAAAGAAGACATGCTGTGCTTTTAAAACAAAAACTGCCTTTGGTTATATGGAATCAGTTCTCCTGGGAAATCATTCCATACTTCTCAAAATACTTTACCATTAAATACAGTGGGTGAAAGCCTTGCAGACAAGTAGTGATATGGCCAGTCAGGTCTCAGCAGCTGGTATTCTAAAGTTGTGTCCAAAAAATACAACATAAATGTTATGTTGACAGGAACACAGAGATGTGCAGAATAAGAACCACAATGAAATACCCTCACATTTATAACCTGAGACATAATCTGGTAGACTGTAATAGTGCAAATGCTTTTGAGAGTTATTGAAGGAAAACACTATTAGCTTAAATTTCCACCCCTCTTTGAAGTTGGTAGCATTAGGCCAGCGCTGGGGATTCGTATAAATTACATTTTCAAATTTGATATAGAATATTGGTTTTCATGGGGAGATCTGATCCGCTGATTGCCTTCAGTGTGGATTGTCAACACCTGTGAGTGGGGGCTGGTGCTGACACTGCTGCTGTCAACAGCCCCACTGCACTGCCTCCTGCAGCTCTCTGCCCTGCCAGAAACACTTTATTGACTGTGCACTGGGAAACTTCATCCGGATAAATGGATGTGTCCTCACTCGGAACAAGCGGCGGCTGAAGGTGAGAGCAGCTCAGCTGGTGCTGGTAGAGGTGGAGGAAAAGTGGAAGCAGAGCCTGCCTGTTCAAATAGGACAGGTGTCTTTTAACTCTTATGGGAACTCTGGAGAAAAACTACTTAGGAAATGGTGCCCTGTCCGCTTCTTTATATTTTCAAATTATACAAGATTCCTTTTAGAAGATAATGTTGTGATGCACAGTTTTCTCATATCAGTGTTTGAATGAGATGAAATCTAGGAGACTGTAATATACAGGGGATGATGCAAACTGCTGACCCGTTATGGCCTTGTAGTCTGAATTCTTTAAAACAAATCCACTCTCCATCTTGGCATTGGTCTTTGTGGCAGAATCTCCTTTTGTGGAGGACAGTTTCAACATCTGCAAGAAATAAAACATTAAAATGTATGCATAAGCAATGTTTCTACAAATTCCTTATTATGAACCTCTAAAATGCTTATAATATTTGACGGTTGTATGCATAAAAGCAGGAGGAAAAGACCAAACCACACTAAGTCAGGTGGCATAAAATAACTATTAAAATGTATTCAGCTAGGCTCTCATCTAGTGCCCTTTGTAGTCCTATAGCTGGTTCTTGTACTTGATACTTCACCAAATGCAGTCTGTTTTGTAAAGAGCTCTCAGGCTTTTTTTGGTGCTCTTAAAATCACTCTGTCAACACAGTAACCATAGATTTTTGTGTAGTTTGTGTCATGAAAACCGAACCAGAAATTTAATCCCTTTCAGTTGCCTATGTGAGCACAATAGGCTGTGGAGCACTGAGTGCTGTGCTCCGAGTATGCAGAAACTCCCTCAAACTCCTGCTTCACACAGTGGGAGCAGCAAATTCCTGGATTCTTTGAAGGTGTTCCCATGAAGTCTCTCCCGTTCCACCCTCCACGTTCTCTGTGCACAAAGCATTCTTAGTCACATAGTATCACTGGTTACTGGTTTTGCCCCATCTATTTTCCATGCTTTTCATTCATCCCTTGTTGAGTGAAGCAAGAAAATATAGCAATTAGAAAAGGATTATAATACTGGAATTCTGGGAAATGCATGCCTGAATAAATAATTTTTATTTCTGTGGGACAGTGAGTCTTTAAAGATTGGGTAATCCACAGCACAAAAACCTTTTTATTTTTTTGCCCCGGCGTTTGACCAGATTTGGTCAAATCTGGATTTCGTTGGACCTCTGAGCAATGTTTCCTTCCAAAATGCAAATTGAAAGCTTAACGTTTTCCAAACTGCAGGTGTCCCATCTTTTCACGAGCATTTCTGCAGGACTTTGGGGCAGTGTTTACCTCTGGCTTTGCTCTTGGTGGCCGTTGCAGGTAACAGCAAACGCGTGCAGTGGCTGCGGGGCAAGGACGGCGAGGTCTGGGTCTGGGTGATGGGAGAGGCACCAGGGGACAAACCCTACGAGCAGATCTCAGAGGAGCTCATAGCAGAGCGGGCCCGGCAGCAGGCACAGAAGGAGGCAGAGGAGCTATGGTGAGCACTTCATCCGAGCTCGGGGTGTGCACTTGGCGTAACGGGAGACATGACCTTGCAGAGAGGGGGCAGGTAATGGTGGGGAAAAATGGTGAGTATGATTTGTGAACGTCTGCTTTCATTTGTCAGGTTTTCAGCGTGTTAAAAAAGTCGTTTTGGTTATATTGAATATTGAAAGCAAAAAAACTCTCGTTTGCAAAAAGAGCGGTGCCAACTTTTTTCTCTCTTGGGAATTTAGCTGAGCCGTTGACCAGCCTGTAAATAAAGAAAAATGAAGCAGCCCGGTTTTGAGGTGATTAAATTAGATATGTTTGTTATATCACACTTCTAAGCCCGCAATGGGGGTTTGGTACACAAAATCCTTTTTGAAATTGGCTTTATTTGCATTTTGCTCATATTAATTCTTATTCCAGCAGTTCAAAAACTCATTATACAAAGTGCCATGCGGATGTTTCTAGCAGGGCCTCTTCCAGGTTTGGGAGAGATTCAAAAGTCTTTTGATGCTTGATATTGTTAGGAATTAGGCCACCTGCCTCACACACTTCCCTTTGTAGTACAGCACTGGAAAGTGACTGTTTAAATATCAGGTTATTCTATGTTATCCTTTTTCATATGAGATCATTCCTTCTTCGAGTGCTTGCATATTTAAGCAAGGATTGAAACCTTCAACCTGTGCTCTGAATTCCTTTTACATTGTCAGTACTAATGAACAATCTAGCATAAGAATTTGGGAGATATCTGTACTGGTATTTGAAAGGCAATGAATTCCCAACCGTGCTGTGCTAGACTAATAGAAAAATATAAGGCACGACTTAAAGACACCCAAGAAGTACTTGTCTAACTTATAAGTGCTATTTTAATTAGTAATTTATCAAAAATTGTAAATTGCCTGCTTTCTGGGTGGTTTCTTCATACATGACTTGTGGTAGGTCTCTTGTTAAATACATTTTAGTTTTTTGCTTGCATCTTTCCATAAAGTCTTACACTAATTATTTGTTGCAATCCGTGAGTAAGTATTGCTCCTCAATTTAAGAAAATTAGTGCATTACATTTTTATTTTCGCATCCTTTTCTGAAGGAGACAAAAAGAAGCTGAAATAACAAAGAAATTTCGTGATGCTATGGCTCAAGAAAAAGCCAGGATAGTGGCAGAAAAATGGAAAATAGAAATGGAGGATCGGAAAGCAGCCAAACTGGAGGAAGAAAAAATTCAGGAGGAACTGAAGGTTTGCATAGAGCAATTTAGTTTTTTTTAATAGAGTTTTCATATAGATTCACAGTTCTTGTCACCTTCAGTGCATGCTTATTAATAAGCTTTAAAATCTGGAGTTGTAATTTTCATTCTGGAATATACAGATAGCTACGTGGTGTGCAGCAGAACAGCTGGGTGAGAGATGAGAAAAAATTACAGGTCTCATTCAGAAGTGCCAGAACAATCAAACTGGTTATTCAGCTCACACATTAGCAGAATTGTTCAGTCAGCTGTGCTGGGTGAATCATCCTGGGGGAAAAAAATGTACAATTGGGAAAGATCTCATTTTAAGTTAGTTTGCTTGAATGTATTCTGTGTATTTTGGATGAGTTTGTTCACATAATGAACTTCAAAACTGTGTCACTACTTCCTTCAAAATAATAAGGGGTGGATCCTTCCCCTACTCAACATATGGGAAAAGTCCAGTTGGCTTTGCTGGGAGAAGTTCATTTGCCTGATTTTTATTGACTTCACAATGAACTTTCTATTTTTATGTTTGTTGGAAATAATATTTTTTCACATTTTCTAGTTGAAAACAGCAATCTCAAAACTAAATAGGAAACGTGTCTGTCCACCCTTTTCATATTACTTGATAAAGATAAAAACTTGATTAAAAGTGAGAAAGTAAAATATAATGGGTTCAGTGTGCAGAAAAGTCATGACAGTGCTCTGAGGTTGGGATGTGCATGCTGGGACTGCACGTGATTGGTGAGGATGAGTTTCCTTGGAGAAAGGCTGCAGAAAATCCCACTCCAAGGATCCAGTACCTTCCATCCACACTCCTCTCCCCTGCTGACAGCTCGCTCTGTGTCTCCTTCCTTTCCTGCTACAGTGATTTAAGGTGTGGAAAGCAGGGACAGACTTTTCCCATTGTCCCTCCTTTGTGACGGGAGGAATGCTGACAACTCGGTGTTAGGTTTCTGTGGTTTGATTGCAAACAGCAAATTTCTTGTCGCTCTGCAGACTGTGGGCCTGGGATCTGGGGTGGATGTGGAGCACAAAGCCAGGGCGGTTCCTGCAGGGGAGGCTGCTCAGAGTTGCTGATTTACCTTTGCACAATTAATTTGAATTCACAGGAGAGAACGGGGCCTTTGAAATTTGATGTCAATGAGTAATGAAAGTATACCTTTCAAGTGCTTTATTAATGTATGAATAATGAGCAGAGCAACTAATTAAACACTCTTTCCTCTGCTCTCTGGAAAAGTAAAGCCCTATTGAACAAAGGCTGACAGAGTGTTCACTTATATCTCTGTGACTGATTTACAGGACACTTGATGGGTAAAATGTCCACAAGCTCACTGTTACTGTTCTGTTTCAAAGTGCAGAGTGAGCAACTTCTGGGACTTTCAGTGGTCAGTATTCACAGCTTTCTATTAAGGAAAACTAGTTGTTCAGTTGTTGATACAATTGAAAGGAATGGCACCAAAATCTGCTCATTTCCATCTTGTTGGAAAGGTAATGTCACAGTGATCTGTGTTTCCACTGTTTCCCTGGACATGAGCAGGTGTCCTCCTGTCCATCTGTGCGCCTGGTCAGAGCAAGGAACACTGCTGGAAGTGGGATGAGATTATGGTTCAGTTTCTACTTTGAATTTCCAATACTTAACTTTGGTCAGGATTTCTTTATCTCTCTTCCCAAAGTTGCCAATATATTTATTCTATTGAGGAAGTAGAACCGTTTCTTTCACAATGGTTTCCCTTAAATCAAACATTTGAAGACAGGATTTGCAAAAATTTAAATAAGTGGACCAAAGTTTTCAAAACAAGACCCAGCAGAAAGGAACTCTGGCTTAAAGAGTTAGCTTAGAAACAAGATAGGATGCTGTGATTATTTTTTTAAATGCTCTTTATCAAATGTTCTCTCAGCATTTTCTTTATTAACCCAACAACAGTCTAATTCCACTTTCAACATTGGCTCTTCTGTTAGGTCTATAATTTGAGATCTGTCAGGAGTGAGTTAGACAGACATAGGGCTCTCACCAGCAGAGATCCAAATGCAGGATTGATTCCTGGTACTTTGACACCACTCCCCTGCTACTCAGAAAAGCAGCTTATCTGTTACTTGCTCTGGAAAGATCAGAGCTTGCACATCGTGCATGGTATCTAGACAGGAAAAGAAAGTTGTGTTTGTGGCATCCATGTCCAACTACAAGAAGGGAATACAACTAAGGTTCAGGGAAAAAGATGAATTAATGAGTCTGCTGATGTCTGACAGAAGTAATTGATAAAATGAAGAAAAGGGTGTGGAATTTGATGCAGATCTGTAGGCAAGCTTGCTTCAACAGATTTAAAATATTTAATGCACTGGTAGTCGTCCTTCTGTGATGATGACCAGACTATGTTTAAAGAGGTCTCCAGACTGAGGCATGGAAAATTCAGTTTCTGCTAATGCTTCATCCTCTTGAAGCAGTTTGACTTGGGAAATTGCAACTGTCTCCTTTCTGCTGACATGTTTAATTTCTAACCATATGTGTCTCAAACACTCCTTTTTAAGATGCTTTTATTCCTCTTGACCTATCACAGGACATTAAGGCTGTCTGCACTAGATAAATGATATCTTACATATCAAAGTGAATGATGATCCCTATTTCCTTTCCCAACACTATTTGAAAAGTATTGCTTTCCTTGGTGTTTCTTAAGCAGAATTGCCTTTAATTTATGATGCTAGAATATAAACGTTGACTACTCTATTTTTGCAGTTTAAGGACAGCTATTCTTTTATGCACATATTGCAAAGGACAAATAAGAGACCCAATTACTATCATTAATCTTTTTGCTAATTCACAAAGGCTATGAGATCATAGGCATAATTTTCTACAGTTATCAGTAGCTGTCATTAAGAGTCTGAACAATGTGCAGAGCTAAGGCAAATTAAAGATGTGTCATCCAGCCAGGAGTGGATATCCTTCAGCTACATTTGGAAATAAAAGAGATGTTCCCTCAGTTCAATCTTCATGTGGTCTGCATAAAGCAAGAGAATATTAATAGTAATGTGCTGTCCTTATGACAACATCAGATACCTGCCAAATTTAATAATATAAGCACAGTTGACAGCAGAGCTAGATTGTTTCTTAAAAATTCGCTGGGAGATGAAATGTGTCTCATCAAAGAAGATAGGTTGAGAATCAACCTTCAGAGAACAGAACAATTAGTGCTTCTGTTCAGGAAATATCTAATTAACCTTATGCTCAGTAGAAAGAATACACTTTCTATTGAGCTTGGATGAGCTTTCAACACATGTCTGAAAGCTTTACTGTGCCCCCAAGTGCTGTGGACCTGATTCCTCAGAAAATTGCTGCCAGATGTAGAGTTTAGGAATGCAGTGAACTGTCACCATTGCCATTTGGAGTATTGTGGGCTTCTTAGGATAGAGCAGTGAGCATTCTGTCTTGATCTGAAAAAATCTCTTGTCTCCAAGTAAACGTCAAGCACTTGAGTGGGACTGTTATCTCCAAGTGCAAATAAGCTGTAAGTTCAGCTCTATGCTTTTCTGTGCCAAGAAAACATTGAACTCTTTCCCAAAGACAGTATATTTAGAATCTAGGAATATGACAACAGCTTCTTGCTGGTGTTTGGCACCCAATTCATTCTGAATGTGCCTTAGTTGGGTTATTTCAATGGCAATCACAATAATTCAGTAATACTTCATTTTGTTTCCTTTTGGGTGTCCACAGTTCAGCAATCCTTTTTCCTATGCCGTTGTCCCTTGAAAAAGTTTTGGTTGGGAAGTGGGTATTCAAGTTTTCGCTATCCTACTTGTAACTGATGTTAATTTTAAAGAAAAATCTCTTGCTCAACGACATCAGTAATCATTGCACTTCTGAAGCCACTGTCTTCAGTCTGGATTGCTGGTAAAAACTAGCAAAACTCAGTGTTTTCCATGGGTAAATGGGAAAATCTGAGACACTAATGAGGGCAGCAAACAGGAGTTCAAGCTGTGAGGAGTCTCTAAGGTCCAGAGACAAACTTTAAGTAGATGGTCACTGGATCTATGACAAATTACTTGAGCAGAGCCTGTTCCAGCACGTGCAGTAAATGTCAGATCTCTCCCAGCCAGGAACGATCCTTAGCTTTGTTTTCCAGCCCATGGAACACAGGGTCTTTGTGAATCAGAGTAAGTTGGTACCTCCTTGTATAAGATGTGTGAGTAGCATGTCCTGGGACACATCCATGGCAGAAATCTCTTAGCTTCTGCATAAAGCATGAGTGCATTTCATACATTTGTCTCTGTGCAAATACATGCACAGTGAAGCAATGCAAAGCCTGTGTTCCTTTTGAGACACTGCTAGTAGAGAAGGAAATAATGCCTCTGCAAACACTTTCTTTTCTGATGCAAGTGAGAGAATTTTCTCAGGAAAAGGCTGGGGAGGAGTTGGACCTATTTCTGCTGTTACTCAGAGCTCTGTTGGCAGCTGTCAGGTGTGTCTGGAGAGAAGCTGATCTCTGAACTCAGCTGGCAGTGTCAGCCTTGCTGAGAGCAGCCTGTCCTGCAGCCCTGGGGTTATCAGATTTCCTTCCTCAGAGCAGGGAGTCTCCAAGGGCTCTCAGCTGTGTTTTAGGTGGCTCAATGTCTTCCCTGGCCCCGTGGTCGCTGAGTGGGCTCAGGGGGTTTGCAGCAGCTGTAGTGCAGCTGGCTGCAGCTTTCAGGGCTGCCAGAGACACTTCTTCCAGCCTGGAGCACTGAGAGAATCCCAGGCAGTATTTGCTTTGGTACTTGTTGTAACAAGTACACTTTGTGGCTTTTGCCCTGAGCAGAATGGTGGTCATTCAGCTGCCCTGCATCCCCTAAGACTCCCCAGAAAGACCCCAAGAGCTGTGGCAGCCAGAAACCCAGTTTTCCTCTGTAAAAAACCCCACGGCTCTTTTTTGCCTTTTCCCCAGTGTATTTTTTAAATCTTTCTGCAGCAAAAACCAAATGATGACCTAATCTCCTTTCATCTGCCTTGGACTGAAACATTAGAATCTTACCATGGCTAATATTAAATATTATTTAGAGCTGCCCATAGTAAAGCTGTGAAACACAGTGAGACACACATAGACAGAAACAAGTTTGTGGTAAGTTCTCAACTGCCAGAGGATACATGAGATCATTTAGCATGTTCAAATTCTCCAGTGGAGTAAAGGATGGGGAGGATTAGTGCTGCCTGTTGAATTGCCAGTGTGATTTGTTTTGGCAACTTGGTATTTCTCAACAATTTGCAACTCTACACTGAATTGTCACGTTCCTAATTATTTTGGCAGAGTTGAAAGGGTCAGGCACAGAGTACAATCTCTGTCAAGTGTCAGGCAGAAGATGGTGTTTGTAGGTATTGCAGCTCTTCACTCCCAGCTCTGATGTGCAGGATTGGATTCCTGGGCAGAAGCAGACAAACTGCTTGTTGTATTCCTTCCGTGGAGTAAATGTGAAAAGTTCAATTGTTCATTTTAAATGCAAACACACACTGTTTAGTTGTACTTAACAAAAGGATGACTGTTCTTTCCTGTGTCATACTAGCAAGGATTGTTTTTTCTCACACACACCTTGAAGGAGTTGGACAATATACCTGCACATCTATGCACTAATTTAATAAATAGAAGTGAAATCTCCTCTTTCTGTAAAAAGGAAAATTAAAAGAAAAATTTTTGTGAATTTACAATCAAGTGCCTGTTAAGTTTCTGTTATTGTCTCTTCTTGGCTTAAATCTCATTCTCAGTTAAAAAGGTAGGATTTTCTTAGTTGGCAGTGTTGCCTTCCATTAAGAACTCAAACTCCACCTGAATTTTAGTTCTTGGGGTGTATGTGTGTGGGCTTTTTGTTCGTTTTTCTTAGACCCTTTCATCTTTTTATTAGAAATGTTTCAACAACAGCGACATTAAAAAAAAAGCCCAAACTTACAACAAAACTCTGGTGTGATTCAGGGAAACTGCAGTGAGATTGATTTTTTTCCCCCTCCTCTATTTTAAGTTTACCTTGTGGTTTAAGATGTTGAATAGAAAATATTCTGATAACCCAGGATTTCTTCTGTGTCTGTCCATCTTCCTGAAGGATAGACTGGATGTATTGAATTTTTTTTAGGTAGTGAAGCTAAGTGAATAAATATTCTTATGAGAATAAGGAACAGTTGATGTCATATCTTTTTCAAGAGAATAGACCCATTTACTTGCAGCTAAAATGTGCAATCCTTAATTCTACAGAGATATTAAAAAAGATATTTTTTTTTTCCTGAAGAAGCTGCCTGGCTTTGAAATTAATGTTGTTCTAAAAGCATTAACTTTTCAAAAAGAATGAACTGTCCACTCCAAGAAATAACAATTGAAGGATAGTGTTAGAAATAATCCAAGATAGTGGCATTAGAATTGACTGAAGAACAAACCTAGGCTTTTCTTTCTCAGAAATAATAATAGGAGCCTAATGTATTGTTCATAGAATCATATAACATTAAGGGTTGGACCCTAAACCTTCACCCTAGAAATTTCATAGGATTAACATCTACTACTAGCAATCTACTTTGGGTTTCCCTTACTTATAGATTAGGTCAGGTAACTAGGCTAGTAATTCGAGGTGATTTTACTCAGAGATTTATAAAAAAATGCTTACCTATAAGTTTGTTACCCATAAGGGCAGAGTGTTGGTTCCATTATAAAATTAAATAAAAGCTGTTTTTATTTGTAATTCAAGTTATTTCAACAATATGAATAACAACTAATGAAATTCAGTTTTGAGTTTTTTGTGGATTTCAATTAAACTACATGATTTAAATCTGCTTCTTCACCACCTAAGGGATTTGGGAAAATTCATTGGAAAACAGATAGAGATTCCTAGTTCTGCATTAATTGAGCTCCTATGTTACCGATAATATGAGGGAGGCTAACTGCAGGAGCAATCTTTCTCAGATTTCCATCTCTTTTAAGGCTTTCTTGGAAGGGAACTTTTTGGCATGTTACACTTGGCTACATTTTGCAGAGTGACTGTTGTGTGCTGAAGGATCTGCCTTTTCCTCCAGAATGTAGTGATCTTAATTTTTGGAAAATACTCTTCCCTGTGTTGGTTATGAGGACACACTGGGGCAGTTACTAAACCAAGATCAGCAATAAATCAGTTCCTGAGTTCTGAGGTTCTGTGGATGATGAGTGTGGTGCTCGAAGGCAGCAGTACCTTCAGTGGGGGCACACATGGACTTAGACCAAGCTTTGCTTATGGGCTGGAGGATAGCACAGGCTTTGGGGCCACGTGATGTTTTCTGTATAGCTTTCAGATCTTAGATGCTTCCATGTTCCTCATTCCTGTGATACATGTGGTCTCAAAATGTACCCTCCTAAGAGGTGGGAAAATTCAGTGGTGCCTATTGTTGGAGGTGAGAAGCCCACAGTTAGAAGAGACAGTGATTTGTCCAAGGTAACACAGATTCTCTGTGATAGGAAGGAACTGAAGCAGTGTCTCAACTTTTGGCACGTTCTTCCTCTTTAGTCACTTCTGGCTTACTTCATTTCCTCTAGAAAAGAGAAGAAGAGGAGAGACAGAGAGGTGAGGAGCTGATCAGGCAGCAGGAAGAAATCCGGGCGCAGGAGCTGTACCTGAGCCTCAAACAAGCTCAGCAGCACAGTCAGCACAGCGACCACGACCAGGAGTGGGAAGAGCAGTGTGAGTAAAGCTACCTCCAGAGCATCAATGCATTTCTGAAAGCACAATAAAGGACACTTGCAGAATGGAGAAGGTGTGGCCAAAAAAATCTCTTCTACCTAGAGCAATACGAAGTGCTGTATTGTTTTGGTGGAAATTGCCAGCTTAAAATTACAGACAGAAGTTTCAGATTTCTTTCTGTATCTCTGTCAGTGCCTTATAGAATTTTTTGTGTACAGTGACTGAGATCATTAAATTCTGTCTAATGTACTTAATTAACAGTTTTTGGCTTAGTAGTAATAACTTAGGGCACAGTTATTTTGACAGCTTGTCCTCAGCTATCTTTGAAGAGATAAAATCTGTCTTCATCAGTATTTTAATTGCTTCCATATGGTAGTGGGGTGAAGCTATGATGTCAATGCTAAAATTCACTTCATTCCAAAAGATTACAGTAGATCATACCTAGATTGTTGCTCTAAAAAGACACCTGATGATGATCTCACTCTATGGAAGTACTGTTCCTTTTTTGATAGCCTGAAATTCTTTATATCATAATTGTGATTAATTTCAATTTTTTTGGTGATTTTTAAAAGCCTATAAGGAACAGAACAGGTATATTATTATATAGATGTGTGCACTAATACTGTAGATAAGTAAAGGTCTACATTATGAATAAATTTCAAAATACACAATTAGTTTATTTTATGGCTTTAGTCATCACTTCATTAATTCCTGAGGACTAATTAATGAAGTGCTATTACCTGGAATTGATCTGATAATGAATCATTCTCTACAAGATGAATTAAATCTATATGATACACTGGTGCTATTTTCCAAGCTCATAAGAGGGTATGTTAAATTTGATCAATAAAACCTCTGTATATTACACTGTCAATCCAGATAAAGTAATTATTTTCTGCAGAATTATCTAAATCCAGGTGTACATGCATATATGGAAAAAACCCCCTAACTTTCTGTGTTTTCAGTATGTGAGAGCAAAATGAGTTGGGGAAAAAGCAGCCCTTCAGTTCTACAGAAAATCAGCATCAGCTGGCAACACAGCATAGAGGATGGGGCTATGTATTTTAGAATTTATTTGATGCTATATAAGGAAAGGAAATGCATTTTAACCATGTTGTTAAAAGAAAAAAATGAATCCAGGTTACCTTTACACGGAAATAAAACAAAATACTATAAACACTAGTAAAATCAGGTATCATTTTCTTACTATTGCAGTAATGAGGTAACTGATGTTTTAAATTGAGGAACGCTGTTTGTGCAGGGATAGACATCAAAAATGCAATAGAATCATTATGAGAGAAGGGAGGGAGAAAAAGGCACCACTACTTTTTCTTGTGGAACTTTGGGGGCATTCTGTATGCTCTGGAGGAATTCTGTCCCCTCCAGTGCCTCAGTCCCCTCAGCCAAGGGGTGACAAGAGCAGCCCAGGTGGCTCAGGGCTGCTCACCAGGCAGAGCAGAAGCTCTGTAAATTCTGTGCTGCCAGAGTTATGCTGTTAGCAGTAATTGATTTAGCATTAAACTAACTGCAGACTAATGACTAGAGTGTACCATATCCTTGTTTATCCTCTTATGCTTATCTCGGTGTCTCCATTTATCCCTGTAGCTTTGAGGGCTCAGAACCGTGCTCCATTAGCAAATGGGTGTGACAGCTGAAGGTAGGAAGATGCAGTTTAGTGCCTTATCTGAGACCAGGTGCTGGCTGGCTTAGACTATGCTATCAAACTTTGCACTGAGTTTCCTCAGGCATTTTAACATCTTCCATTTCCTTAACTTTACTGCAGGAGCCAAAATGTGCAGCAGAGACTCAGTAACAAATATTTGGAAGTGGGAACATCTGAAATTGCTATGAAGTTAATTAGCACCTCAGGTTCAGCAGATTTTTCATTTTTTATTTCAGTTCTAGATATTTTTCTCTTTTTATGGTAATCCTTCCATTTTGTCTGCAAGTATTCCTGTGGGGCACTGAGAGGAAATTTAGTGAAGTTAGGCAAAGCTGTCCACAAATCAGCTTTTCTAAGTAATAAATAAATGCATGAATGCATAAGAGAATTGCAAGCAGATGTAATATTTACATTTTTTTGCCACTACAAACCTGCTGTGGAGATCATATTGCCTATTAGGAGCAAGGCCAGGCTCCTTTGGGTCTTACCTGTGACAGAGAGCTGGGGCTCAGTGCTGCAGGGGAGAGAAATATAGCAATGATATTGATGACACCACCAATTTGTTTAGTAGATGGAATGCAGAACGTGGTGGGGATTCATCTCTCCTCATCACATTTTCCCTCAGCTGTTTATTGCCAAGGCAATCAGCAAAGTGGTGCTAATATTAGTTTCTGTTGTTCGGTTCAGTTTGCTTCTGCTGTTTGCCAAAGAACAATAATGGCCCATAGAACTACTGTGTTAATTGAAATACATGATTGTAGGGCTTTTTAGTGTACTAAATAACAAATGTAGAATAACTTGGGAAATCGGTGCTAAAAGGGGGAAATGATGCTGTAAGAGTAATTACACACTTTGATTTCATATCAAAGATATATATTGGGGTTTTTTAGAGGGCGGTTGTAAGCTAGGAAGTCGAGCAGGGATATTGGTTGGCAAGTGAAAAGTGAATAGTGGAAGACTTATTCAGAGATTCTACTGTTCAAAACTTTTATTTTTGAAACTGAGATGCAAAACTAAACTTGGATAGCAGAAGGTATGTATTCTCCTTAGTTTTGGACATTTCTTTGTGCTATCCCATTTTCAAGTTACTAGCTTATTGGTGTGACCTCTCTTTGTGAAGGCAAAAAAAGGATCTGTGAAACTTGATAGGAAAAGCTGTAGCCTCAATATTGATCTGATTGAATATTGTAAAAGGCATTCTGTTAGTACGTTTACAAAGCCCTGAAAACTGAATCGGGCAGAGAAGTGCTCAGATACTATCTGACCAAATCTATTAATCTCTAGGAAAAAAATATTCCATTTAAAACATAGACAGAGATGAGTGAGTTGATCTATTATTTTGCCTTTCTCCAAGCACCTACTTTTGGTCTCTCTTGGAAGAAGGATACCAGGCTGACTCATTATAGCTTTTTTCATATTATTATATTTTTATGTTCTTCTACGAATATGTTATGAATTTATTTTTGCCTAACTTCTAAAGGAATTCATTGGGTATTTATGTTCCCCAAAAATTCAAGTGGGTTTACTGGCAGGAGCATTGATAAAATGCTGAATTTTAAAGTGAGTGCTCCCCAGTTTAGCTATGCATTAACTAAGCAAGTGCTCAACCTTACATGTCTGTGCCCTCTGAACTCCAATAGGTCTCAGTGCATTTTTGACTAGGAATGGGATTACTCACATGCTTTCAGATAAGATTGCTGAACTGAAGCCATATTGCAGAGTATTTGTGGGAAGTTATATTTTCCACATAGGAAAAGGAAAACACACTGTATGATTTGTATGTGCACTCAGAAAATCTGAAGATTGAATTTTATCTATTAGTTCGTCATTTTGAATAGCTCATAAACAAGCTTCCAAGAATTTTTAACAAGAGGAAAGCTAAAACAAAATAATTTTAAAATTACAATGCATAGTAATAGCATATATTTGGGTTTTTTCAGCTTTCACATATCTGACTGTAAATTGATGCTCTTCAAAAACACAGAATAGATTATAGAAAATGGAGAGGTCCTAGTCTTTCACAAATTATTTGATCAAGTTCAGCTGCAGTGCAGTATGAATTAATCCTCGTCTATATCAAAAGATTTGCTATTAGAACTTTGCCAGGACTGCTAATAGGGATTTTCCAATCCTAAGAAAATAGAGAAGACAAAAGGCACCTTAGGTTAGCATAGAGAAAGAATAGATTCTTGTAAACTGTGCATGGAAAGCAAGGTGAACCAACCCCTCCAGGCCCCAAAGAGCCCCTGCATACCCAGACTTGGGGTTTGCTCTTGGTTGTTAAGAGGATGTTCATGTCACAGAGACGTGTCTGAGCTGGCTTTAAACTGTTCATTTCTAACAATGACAACTGGATAAGCATGGATCTGTCTTGGATGTGTTTACCAGTTTTTCCAGGAGGGTTTGGTCACCTATTTTTGGCCTGCTGTGCTGAGGCTACAATCACAGTGGCACACACCTCTCTGAGCAGCTCAGGCATTTCTACACAGGCTCCAGTTGCATGAGGGCAGAAATGTCTTCATTTTATGAGCACTGCAGGATGTACCTGTTGTTGGTATCACCAACACCAGAAGAGAAAACTGGTCTTGGAGCTGGTCTTACAGGACCTGGGTGAACTGTAGATCTCCCTTGGGCTTGGCAAAGTCCTAATTTTCCCATCTTGTCAGTCCTTAAATTATTCCATGAAATAAAAGAGAGATGTAAGACTATGTCAATTATTATCTGTAGTAATTCTTTATTCTAGAAATACGGATCTCTTATGGTGATTCAGAGCTTTTAGGGTTTTTTTTCCAGATATCTAATCCCCCCACTGAGAATATTGACTGACTACACTACTAGTGTTTTTCACAGGGGTCATGGCAGAAGTAAATTTACTGTAAAAGGACAGCCACCCAAGAAAAATAAATCAGTACTAGAAGTCCTCGCTACTTTTGCTTTCTTGTTACTGGAAAGGTTGTGATACATCTTGAAATACAAGTAACGTACAATTTTGACTTCTTCTATCTTAAAATATTTGTGCTAGACTTGATCCAGAAATAAAGTTCTCCCTCCTAGTGAGATGGTTCAAAGCCATAGAGAGAAATATGAATAGTCATGAGATTATTTTGTAAGAAAAATCTACAAAACTACATCCAGATTTACCTTCAGACTTTGAGTGACTTTCTCAAGATAGATAAATTTGTGGGAAGTGTCAGTATGGGAGGATGGTTCATGTGGTATATATCATTCTATCTGGAGTGTAGTGAAAAACCTTTCTGTAGATTCCTGACTGTGATGGCTTTATCCCCACTACTATTTCCACTCACCAAACATGGTTATTGATGCCAGTGACTTTGATTATTTGCTCAAAAAACCCCTTGACCAATCAAAGATTAAAAGAAACTTAGGATAACCCAGGAACACAGGTACACAGTTGAAGCTGTACTAGACAACTTCTGAAGGTAGAGGAAAGAGAAGGATTTTTTTGGAGTAACTACAAGGAAGAGGGTAGGGAGAAAATCAGGAGACCAGTAATGAGAAAAAATGCATTAGGAGATCCAATGCATCTCTATGGTCAATGTTACAATTCAGATACCTCCACTGGGAAATTTCAATAAAAATTCTTCATAATGGGAGAGAGATGATTCAGTGTATCAAATCTCAATATTTATATGCAGCCTTCCCTATCCTTATGTGTAGAAGACACACACACGTGGGTAGGTACATTAATGTAAACACACAGACATACAAGTATATATATGCATAGGGAGGGCTGCATGTCATACTTTCAAAAGGTTTTCTGAATATTAGTATTTAACAGTGGCAAACTATACTACCTCACCTCACACTTTTGTGATAAGAAGCACTAAAGTTTGATAGTTTGGGAAAATGTAGTCTGGGTCAGTGATTTCTGATGGTACAGAACTGTTGGCTAGCAAAAATACTGTAGGAATGTCTATTGAAAATCTGCCTATTATTGAGGAACGTGGGGCATGAAGGTATCTTCCATTTCTCATTGTCAGGCAGCCTGTACATAGAGTAGCAAAGAGTCCCAGAAAGCTCCAGGCAATCTGCCCTCAATCTGAATATTATAATGGTGACAAACAGTTGAGGGTTTCTAGATGCCTTGCAGAGTTGCATCAAATTCATCCTCCTTGGAGTCTCTCCTTGTGCTGCAAACACAAAGTTCATCTTCAAAGTGACCATTACTGAGTGGCTTTACAAGGGATAAATCACAGAAATCCTGGAGCCATTGAAGCAGTATATGTAAATGACATTATCTACCCTTAAACATAACGGTCTGTAAGATAAATGGTGAAGTCTGTTACTTGTGTTTCCTGTGCTGTGCATTTGTTTGTTACTGTGTTTAGCCAAAACTGCAGGGTATGTAGTTAAGTGAAACTGAAATCCTGCCAGTTGTATGCATATGAAGCATCTATGACTCGTTTATTATGCTGTCTTGATGAGCTTTTAGTCCTGCATATCTTTCTGATTATGGTAATGTTATATAATTCTAAGCTTAAAGGTCTTTTCCCTTTCCCTCATTTGCCCACAAGGTTTTATTTCATTTCATTTGGCTTTGAGTGCTTTTATTTCTTGATTCCATTAAACCTTCTTAGAATTTGGAAGTTAAATTCAGTTATACTTCTGCCTGCTTTAAATTGGGAGCATAAACCAGAGGGATGCAAGCAGACTAATGAAATGCAGCTGTCTGGTATTATATCATGCATTCCTAGTCACAGGTACAGTCACAGGGGAGTAGGAAATGGAGTGTTCACTTTATGAACTGGGTATGATCTAAGCCAGGATAGTCATGGCAGGATTGATAATTGCTACTGGAGGCCATAGCTAGCTTCTTTAATATTTGCTTCACTGCATGTTAAAGGTTTTTTTTTTTTTTTTGCACTGAAAAAATTTGCCTGCCTGCAGTTATTTGTGACTCAAAAACATCATCCAAATGGGGCTTGAGGCACCAGAAAAGAGCCAATAGATGATGAATATTTGCAGTACAATTCTTGGTGCATTTAAATTATACCATGTCAAACTCAGGATTGTTGGGACATTAATTTTAAAATGAAGAAGCTTTAGTAAAAGGTGCCTGAGCCGCAGTGGCCAGAGCTGCAGTCTCATAACAAGTGACAGAAATAGGTAACTCCCTGGTCAGTGCCATTGTTAGGTGTGTATTAAATCTTCCAGTACAAATTCTGGTTCTCCACATACAATTTCAGAAGTGTGAGGCAACCCCATCCATCAACATGCCCTTTCCAATGGCTATTAATTTATCCATTGTTACTGAAACGATTTTTAGACTGCGAATTTCAAGTTGGAGATGACTGTGACTGTAAGTACCGTGACAAAGACAGCATATGCCTTTCAGAAAGCAAACAGCACTGACAAAGTGCAACCTGCATGTCAGTTTTTATAATGGTAAATTTTGGGAGTTGACCGTTCAATTCTAGTTATGTTCATAGTGGCAAAGAACACTGTTAGACTTAATTTTAAGCAGTAATTAACATCCTTTCTTGAAACATAGAACTTGGTGCACTTCCAGGGGAAAAGATGTCCCCAAGCAGAATTTCTCTTATTACAGCCAAAAGAAGTGTCAGATTTAATCACAATATGTAGAGGCTCAGTTATTGCCAGTAGTGGTCAGATCATTGATAATTTGAGACTTCTTCTAGAGGTGGGCTTGTGTTTGAAGCATGTGGGAAGTCACCCAGTTATCCGCCCTCGGTGATGTGTCACAGTTTATACGTTGTCACAACCAGCTCCTGTAGGAATAAAGGCAGCGAGCTGCTGTGTGAGCAGGGCAGAGTGGCTGTGTGCATTTCTGAACGTGTCCTCCCGTCCATCCCGCCCAGTGCGCCGCTCCAAGGCTGCTGACGAGGAGAGGAGCCACCAGGCGCGCCGGGCGCGGGACGAGTACCGCCGGCAGTCCCTGCGAGCCATCCAGAAGGGAAGGGTGGCTGGCCTCAGCCACCTGTTCCAGGGCACAAACCTCAGCACCGACCAGGAGATCAAACTGAACGACAACAGCACAACTGCTCTGCTGTCTCCTGCAGCAAAGTCCAGGTTGGTTTGTGCCGGAGTGGTTTTGAAAGAGTTTTCTCTTGGATTGGTCCCTCTCCAATCCCCACCATTTCAACAAGCTATTCTTCAGGTTTGGGGAGTCCTCAGTCTTGCTATTTCCTGATGATCAGAAGAAAAGAATGTTTAAAAGAAAAGAAAAACAGATTTAATGGAAACTAAATGCCATTTATCTTCAGGCAGATTTCTTGGAATTCACACAGAGATGACTCCTTGAAAAGACAGCATGAGATCAGTATGTGAGGCTGTGATACAGGGGAGTCAAATGGACAAATTCTTAGGCAAGCCTTAAGCCTCAAGCCTAAAAGCCTTTTTTTTTTTTTTTTTTTTTTTTTTTAAACAGAGAGCAGTCCTAAGTTTCAGAGGCTCTTTTCTCAGGCAAAACCAAGTGTCTTTGGTATTTATTAATCTTTCATTTGACTATTTAGGGAGCACAATTAATTGCAGGAGAGGAGAAGACTCCAAATGGGAGGATGATTCCTACTAGCCAAAACATGTAAAAAGTATTAGAAAGAGTAAGGCAGGCTGTCAAGTAGAGAATGCAAAGGAAACATAAAAGTTTAAACAAAGCATTCCCTCTCCTGTGCTTAGTGGTTTCTGTTTGGAGACACAGTGTATTATAGCTGATACTGATTTAGAGTTTTTTTGCCAGTAAAAAGGAATATACTCAAGAAAAAAGAATTGCTTGTCAATATTTATATTGGAATAAAAATGAGTGGAAAAGGAAAGCTTACTAAAATGTCCACTGTGGTAAATTGTTTTTTCAATTTCAGTTCTGTAAGAACATGTTTAAGGTGCCATTGCAAATATAAAAACCACACCACCGCGGTTTCCATAAAAACACAAAGTAATTTTAACAAGTTTTAAAAAGTTAAAGTTGTTCAGTGAGCGGTGCTGAACAGAGGCTCCGCTGGCCATTTTGCAGCTGTGTGTTCTGTAAATGTGCACAAAGAGTTTGTCTCGGCCCTGGTTTCCACGCTGCTGGTGCTCTGTGTCCCTGCAGTGCCATCTGGGAGCGCCCTGCCCGGCCCTTCTCCCGGGACCTCATCGTGCGCTGGTTCAAGGAGGAGCAGCTGCCTCGGCGGGCTGGCCTGGAGAGGAACACCAACAGGATCGCTCCCTGGTTCCACGGTAATTCCCTGATCCCTCGTGTCCTGGACAGCCGAGCCGTGAGTGTCTGCTCGGGAAATGAACCTTGCCAGCTGCCACCCCAAAAATGAACCATCCCAGCTTCCATGCTGACATGGCCAGACTGTGTTAAAACAGGGCTTTTGCATCTTCCCTTCCATTGCCGTATGATTTTCACATTTTCTTTTTACTAATTAAGCAGACTAATTTGGGGCTCATATCGCCAAAGTTTTTTCCAGGAATATTTTAGTCAAAATATACTTGCTGCAAAATAGCAAGACAAGCAAGAGTACTGAGATCAAGAGAGAGTGAGAAGTACCCCAAAATTAAGTGGCAAATAGTGCAGTGATATGGTATGTGGATGACTGACTTTCAGGTTTTTGATTTACCTGATTTGCCAGAATGACTTAACTCATATCTTTTCAATCCTTGTTATACTTTATAAACTGGAGGAACACTTATTTCTTGCTTTCTTTTGCAAACAAAATTTATTAGGTATTTTTTCCCTCAAAAATAATTGAGGGTGTAGAATTTTAAGCAGTTTTCCTGAAATGGGAAAGGTGCAGATCCAAAATTTGCTGTCTTATCTGCTGGAGTTGCTAGCATCTCTGTGACACTTGCTTTGTATAGCATTTGCAATGCAGCTGAATCTTGGATATCAAATTCACAGGTAAGACATCTTATTTTCATAGGTATTAGCAATGATCTTTATATTCAGTATTCTTAGACATGAAAAAAAAAAAAAGTTCTGACTTAATAGCTGACATAATTGAGGGACCAGCAAGACTTTAAAGTTTAATCTCATTTTTTTTTCCATTGCTGCTTTTGATGAGTCTATTGCTTTGTTCAAAGCACTAAGCTGACCCTCATCTGATTCATGATCCTGTAAGCCTAAGATGAAGATGTGTGGGCGTTCTGAAGTGAACCAGGCAAGGAAGATTTCTGAATAAGTTTAATGTTTCATATATTTCAGATTTCTGTTTATGATACACAAATCCTTATGTGTTAAAAGTCATCAACAAGCTGCTATTTTCATTGGCTTAATTAGTCAAAGACACTGAAGTCAGTCATGTGTAGCTTGTAAATGCTAAATACTTTCATTTCTTACGGACAATGATGCAGACAGTGTTGTTTGCTTTCTTAGAGAAGACTTTTGGTGTGGTTCCTTTCTGAGAGACAAACTGATTAACATTTCATTTGTGGACATTTGCCAAAAGTGCTCCCAGGCAGGATCTTTCTGTATGATCCAATGATAAATGTTTTCCCTGCACATGGGAAGGTCACATCCATATAAATTGCTGTTAGGAGTTATGAACATAATTTATGCTTAAAGTTAAGGAGGTGCCTGGGCCTGAGCCAATGCCTGTGCAGTCTTTCTACTAATATTGGTGGCTTTTGGATTAGTTTGTTAATCACTGAAAGAATTGAGACATTCATGATCATTCGTTACTTTCCCAGCTCATGCTCTTCATATGTTGAGAAATTGAAAGCAATTACTTCTAAAGCTGAGCAAAGTACATAATTTTTCCTTCTCTCACTCAAAGAGCCTGACAAAGATAATCAAGATACACTCTCAGCTTGAAGTTCAGTGGTTTTCTTTGCAGGGACCCATGTGAGTGTTGTTTAATACTTATTTGCTGCATGAGTTGTTTTGGCTTCTGCAGCTCTGGTCAGTTAATTAATTGTTATAATTGTAAATTGTGAGTTGCTTTGCAACTCGTCTGCAATGGTGGAATCTAAAGAGGTTATTACAGGTACAATAATTAGTGTTTGGTGCTGTTATCTGGTGTCTACATTACAGTTTGTAATGGACACAAACTCTGAGGAAAACCAAAGAATCACAGATTATGTTGAGTTGGAAGGGACTCACAAGGATTATTGAGTCCAGCTCCTGGCCCTCCTGTTTTTTGTATTCAGGGAGCCAGGACATTATGTATGATCTTTTAATGATTTTTGTCTATGAACAAAAATACAGCAGAATATATTTGACTTGTATAAGAAATTGGCAATAAAAATTAAAGCCTTTCTGCAAAGCCCAGAATTACAGCTGACAACTCGAGCCACTGGGGCACCTCAAGCATCTCTCACAGCAGGTGTAATCAGGTCCTTCACATCTTTGAGCAACTTCTGTATTTTCTTATATCTCAGTTTTGGGAGGTTAATATTCTGCTTCACATTAAGGGTTTTTTGAATGCAATACACTAAGAAAGTTATTGCAATAGTACTGAAAAAGTAGATACCAGTTTATTACAGAATAACATGTTTTTGCCAGGGCCAATAGAGATTGGCTTGCCTGCTTTGACTGTCAGGCTGTTCAGCTTTTTAGCTGAAGTTAAGCATTAGGTGATTCACTGTATTCAAATTGTACTGTGGACATATAACTTATTCTAGTTATGCAGAGAGAAAGCCTTGTGTGCAGCTAAAGTAGCAAAGTACAAATAATAATGCAAATGTCTTTATCCTCATATATTTGGCTTATTTTCCACTTTAAATCATCAAGCCAGTCTGGATTCCTTTTAAAAATACACATTGTCTGGGGCATTTTCATGGTACATGAAACAGGATAACATGGCATGCTTAATGTCACCTGAAGTTTTCCTTTTGTCTTCATTTGAAGAATTGCTACAAAATGTTTCATTTGAACCAGGGTAGTAAAATCTGTAGCTACAAAAAGTCTTTCAAATCAGAACATTTCTTTCTTTATTCACAAAAAGTTACTTAAATGAATATCAACTTCAGCTTCATCCATCTCTATTTGTCGCTTGAAATTATCATCAGTTATCTAAATTCCAGCAGATGTTTTCAGCTCATTTGAAATAGGCTTTACTGTTTTCTTCATTAAAAAAATTGACACATTAAAGATACAAACTGTAATGTACAGCTGAATTCTGGATGTAAATTCAATTATTTTTTGCTCTGTTTGAATAATAAGTCCCTGCCAAAACCCAGATCATTTGCCTTTCCAATCCAGAATGATTTTTTAAAGTTTGCAAAGAAAAAAAAAAATCTATTTTCAATTTTTTTTTTAGATCAAACCCAACTTTAATCCTGTCCTAAATAAAAAAAATTATGATATGATCTTTACTTAATTTGGGTTGTGAAGCAATGAACCTTTATTTAAAGTAGCTTATGCCCACTTTGTGGCCACAGTGCAGTTATGCTCAATTCTCAAACTGTTTAAATGAAGATTCAGAGGCAGTGATTAAGGTGTCACCAGGAGTGTCTTGGGATTTAAAGTAATCAGTTTCTATTTCTTCTGTATTGTCTAATAGTTACCCTAGGTCTGAGTGAAAAGAAATATTATTCATTTTTTTTTGACTGAAAACTAAGAAGTTGGTCTGTACATTGTGATAACCAGAAAGTTAATTGTATTCCGATTTCCTCCCTGCTAATTGAAGAGTATAATCAAATTATTATATGGGCATCCTAATATTGTATCAAGTTGTATAAAAGGTTTTTGTTAATTTGAATTAAGAACATTCTTTGCCAAGATTCCAGTTGCTGATATGCTTTGAAATCAGGGAAGTAAATTGGTGTTTAGCATGGGAGAGCTGTCTCTCAAACAGGCTGGGAAGGAGGACACATTCCTTGCTTCTGCCAAGTTCAGCTTTGAAATGGATTTTTCTTTTCAAACCCCTGTGGGACCCATGCTGAGTAAAGGGAAAGTTGTCAGTCTTCCCTATAGGTTGAAGAGTTTTGCCAAACTATCACAGACTTTAGCAAATTGTAGTTTTCGGTTTATTGCAGGCATAAGACACTTGGGATGGAATTCCATATGGCAACAAAACTAAAGACCCTTCCTTCCCTACATATTTAACAAAATGCTGCTGATGGCTAAAATGTGTATTATTTCCATGTTTGGTCTTTTATTCGTCCTTTAACCTTTCTCTTATGCTTGCAATCTGTTTCAGCACTTTCGTTTTTCCCATTCCAACTACTTTGTCAGCTGTTACTTTTGATGGTTGAGATATTTTTAACTTCATATGTTAGACTGTTCACCCTCACGTACTTTGTTCTGCATTTGGTTATTTTCCATTCAAAATATAGGAGTGCTGGTCTTTGCAGAGGGTGTTGATATCAAAATATTTCCCTAGCTTTAATTGAGAGCAATGTTTTATGATTGTTGCTGTTTATACAGAATATAGCAGGGATCTCCCAGGTGTGTGGTCAGCATAGTACAGAATTTATTCATTGCCTGTCTCTGGGTGGCTGTGTGCTTGTTTGCCAAGCATCTGCTGCAGCACTATCAGATCTCCACTTGCCTTCAGGTTGAAAGGAAAGTTCAGAGGCTGATATCAAAGATCTGGAAACATGAGGTAGATGCCCTAAAGGCTGTACCTTTAAAATGTAATTGCAGCAGCCTGGTTGCTATTGTGGAGAACCATTTCACCAGGGGAAGTCAGAGGGGTGGTGAGTTAAGGGAGTGGGGAGCTGTGGAGGAGCTGATCAGAGCAGATGGAAGGATGGATTGAAAGAATGATGAGAGATGCAGGAGAGGAATAATCTCTGAGGTCAGGGCAGCCAGGGAAGAAAATTTTCAGTTTAACAAGAATGTGTTGCAAATGTTTACAGATCAAGGTTTAACCTCAGATGGCTAATGCTGTTTTCAGGAAGAAATTTGTTTTCAAGGTGAAAATCTAGCACACTGAAAGAGTGATAATGGTTCTGCAAATCAGGTGTTCTCAGTAAAGGAAATATTTCTGAAAGTCTATTAATTATGAGTCCTTGAACAGCAACGAGGGCACTGGGCATATTCATATAGCTGAACTGTGGGAAATATAACATACAGCTTGTACTTTTAATATTTTTTTAAAGGATACAGAAATGGCAGTGGCCTGTTTGAAAAACATCTAACAGGGAATAAAGTTTGCTGCTTTGAGCACAAAAGCATGCTTTTTGTTCTGCTCTTAAAGAGGAACCTTCCAGTTTTTCAATAAATCAAGTGTTGTAAATCTAGCAGAAGTGCAGCCTTTTTGATATTGATGATCTATTTTCTAATTCAC